ATCTGAATAAGAGGTTCACGAAAGGCGAAATAAGGTTTGGCTTTTCGTAACGGACATCTTTTATGCTTCACAACTTGGAGCCAAAACTTTAAGCCATAAAAGGCTTGATTGGCGTATTCGTCTTTGGTGATTTGGTTGTTTTGATTCCTTAATATCGGCTTCGTTTATGGCTTGCTGACATTCTTGGCAAGAGAATTCAGTTAATAATTCGGGGTTTTGGAAACTACCCCGAAAGTTAATTGGTTGGTGTGTCATGGGTGAATGGCAGGTATGTTCATTAAGTACGTTCTAGGTTGCTTTTACCTTTCCGCTTTTTTTAATTAGTCAAAATTTTTCCTGTACAGGTGCTATACAGGTCAAGTACAGGGTAGAAATTTTGATTGAAAAATAAACCTAAACTAACGATTATTCTAGGCCGAGATAAAAAGTTTGGTCTGCCGAAATTCTAAAAAGCAAGGAGTCAACTAAAAAAAATTTAGATTGCTTTTTCGTATAATAAACGGTAAATAATTTAAGCAAAAAAAATGAACGTACTAGCAACTACTTCAAAAATAATTCCCTACGGAAAGTTCTATTATAAGGAGAGATATTTTTTTTCGAATCGTTTCCAACTATAATTCCATAGCCCAAACCGAGTGCTAATTTTTGGACTAGGCCCAAGGTCTACTCGAGAAATTAACTCTCACTTTTACAAAAATGAACGTACTAGAAAGCAACGTACTAGAAAATTGGCTAACCTCAGCCTCAAGAAAAAGGGGTAAGAACGCCGATTTTTGGAAGGCTTATTATCTAAACCACAAAGAACAACGTCGTCGTGCTAGCCAAAAATGAGAGGCTAATAATCCCCGGAAAGGAGATCGTCATCAACTAACTCGGCAAAGCCGATACCGAATAAAGGTTTTAATTGAGGAATTCCAAAAGTTAGGCTTACTAACCCACGAGCAACTACTGAAAAAAACTGACCGAGAACAATTACAGCCTAGTCAAATCCAGAATTTTATCTGACTAGAATTTTTTTTGGGTTGTGTGGTGGACAAAAAATTGCCCCTATCTTTAGTTTATCTAAATGATATCCATTTAGATGATAGTAGTCGTTCTTTGTTTTTTTATTATGTTGGAACCCAACCGAGAGAGACCCAAAGGATGTGATTACTGATTGGGATGATTCAGAA